AGAGAGATGGTGGCAGCGGCGGCGGATGGTGGCAGTTGGCGTCGGACGGTGGCCGTGGAGTGACCTGCGTGAGATTGAGATAGATAGGTGAGAGAGAATGTGTGTGAGAATGTTGAGGGTAGGTTTGTGTGGGGTCCACTGTATGGGTGATGAGTTGTAATTTGTTGTGTATTGTCTGTTTTGCCCTTACTAAGTTGACAAATATGTACATTTGACTACAATATGTGTTAAATTACCATGTTGCCATTAATGATTGACCATATTTTGACTCAATCATAACCATTGATATGCTGAATCCAATGATCCAAACTTATTCTTATTTCTTTCACTATCTACTATTCTCATATGATCCTAACTCTATATATATATATATATGTATGTATATATATATATATATATATATATACACACCAGAAGGAGAAGAAAAAAATAACTATGTAACTAAAACAATACTTGTTGTATTACGTATATCAAAACTTTATTCATTATGTATAATAATTCAATCTAATCATGTGTGTTGTAATTTTTAATTTATTTTGTGTGTTGTAATTTTTAATTTATCATCTTGTGCGTTGTAATTTTAAATATTATAATGTGTGTTGTAATTTTTAAGTTTTAATTTTAATGACTATTTATTTCTCCGATTTAATTATGTATATGATTATAACTTTATAATTAGTTTATTACATAAGGTCCAAATTGAATTGAAAATAATAGTGTGGTTTAATTTGTAAAGTTGTAAAATATGTAGTATTGAAAAGTTGTAGAAGTTGATGTAAAAGATAATATTCCGAAAATATTCTTTTGGGTTGGAGAATGAGTTTTTCATTTGGAGATAAATTACTGCAAAATGAGATAGGTACTGCAAAATTAGTTTGAGTATGGGGTTTTTGGTTGGAGATGGTCGAAGGGTGCATCGAAGACGCCGGTCTCTATGCCGATCTCCCTTTGGGCCGATCTCACCACAAGTCATAGGCACACTGTCACCATAGCGTAGAAGGATTATTTCCTCACTTATAACTTAATGGAGGGTTAAATTGCATCAAATTTATTTGTGTTATATGAAATAGGCGCGTTATTACCTGTGTTTTAAAAATTGTACTAGACCCCCTTATATTTAAGTAGTTGTTGCATGATTCCTCCATTCCATCTAACTTAACAACGCGTGCACAACACCTTCTCTGCCTGCACAAATTTTACAATTTTTTATTTTACATAATTATTAAATTACCATTATACCCTCGTAAGTTTTATTGAAAAAAACTAAAATTGAACTTAAGGGAGAAATAGAACTCAATCTCTCAAGGAAAATAGTTTGACCACTAAACCAATGGGCCATATTGATTCTTATGTAATAATTTTACACAACTACATTTATAATATGATTCGAAACGTATTAATAAAATAAAATAAAATAAAATGTAAAATAATAGGAAAATTTAAAATAAAATATATTAAATAATATTAATAAAATAATAATAACAGCTTGTAATATATTAAACTAAAATAAAAATAAAGTAAAAAATAAAATAAGATAAAAATTAATATAGTAAAATGAATTGAAATTAAATAAATTATATAATTCTCTTTATTAGAATAATATTAATTATATAAATTTGGATACAATAATAATAATAGTAAAAAATTAAATTTAAAAATAACCATAATAATCACAATAATAACAACAACAAGAATAATAATAATAATAATAATAATAATAATAATAATAATAATAATGTAATGTAAAATAAATTAATATAAAATAAAAATAATAAAAAATAAACTAAAATAAGGTAAGATAAAATTAATTATAGTAGCAGGGATTAAAATTAAATAAATTTATAATTTTATTTACAAAAAAATTAATTATATAAATTTGTAAATGGATAATAATAAATTAAGAAATGAATAATTACATAAAATAAAATTATCATATTAAATTAAAAAATGAATAAAACTAAAGTAAACTAGTTAAAATTACATAAAAACAATATAATATAAGATAATAAAATATAAAAAATGTTAAAGTAAAATAAAATAATAATTAAAATAACTTATTATAAAATAGTAAATTAAAATAAATAAAAATATTAATTAATATAATAAAAAAAATATTATTTTTATCAAATAATTTTAGTAGGATTTACTCTAGAATAGAGTATAAACAAAAAATAGAAATAAATTACAGTTTTAGTAAAT